ACCCAACACACACACACACACACACACACACACACACACACACACACACACACACACACACACACACACACACACACACACACACACACACACACACACACACACACGCACACACGCACACACACACACACACACACGCAACAAACAACACACAACAAACACCAACACAACACAACCAAACACCGCGTGCCACATCACCAGGCGCTTGAGGTGTGCAAGGCGGCCGGTGTTGCCCTACAGCCGGCAACGCTGAATCTGCTGTCACGCTCTGCACCCGTCAAGGACAGGGAGCTGCACACCTCAGCCACCACAAGCACACACGCAGGTGGTGGCGGTGGCGATGGTGGTATTGGTGGTGGTATCGGGCTTGAGGAAAGAGAAGGCGGCAACAGCGTCAACGAATCAACGGGGGGACAGAGCGGACGAGGTGATGGCACCCGCTCGAGTGCTGTTGCTGCTGCTGCTGCTGGTAATGGTAGTGGTGGTGGTGTCGATGAAGTTGATGTCGATGATGACGACGATGATGACGATTCCGTGATGAGAATGGGTCCAGCCGTGACGGCGCTGAAGGAATATTTATTGTGGGCAGACAGTCGCGGTCTCATTTCGCTGTCGAATCCGGCCATTGCCCGACACGCAATCCGTTTCTTCGTAGACGTGAGGCCATCGTGGTTGTTTTTGTGTGTGTGTGTGTTTGTTTGTTTGTTTGTGTGTGTATTGTGTGTATGCTGTGGGCAACAGGTTTTGATTGTCTGCTCGTTTGAGACCATCCGTGCATTTTGCATGTCACCCTGTACTCATCGTCCCCCCGGCACAATGCATCTCAAAACGCACATAGGATCCTGTGATGTGCGAGCGGCTGGCGAACAGGGCACTGGCTGGATCAACCCCGAACCGATTCCAGCTACGAGCCGTACGTGGTGGTGGCGGTGGTGATGACGGAACGAGAGGGGAGCATGCTTGTGTGCTGTTGTGCGTGTGTTATGTGTATTGTTGTGTTTGTTGCGTGTGTGTGCAGATTTGAAAGGAGTTGAGACTAAAATTCAACCACACATGCACACACACACACACACACGCACACGCCACCACCACAGACGTACGGGTCGCTGCTTGCGACGTACATGGCTGCACGCGATTACGAGCGCTGCGCGCATGTGATTGAGCGCATGTTGGAGCGGCAGCGGGAGACGGGCATTCCTCTCGTGTCGTCGGCCATCATCAAACGGTATGGGCGGGATGATGGCGCTTCATGACTGTTTGCACACCACGTGATGCCTTAGTTTTGCAGCAGGAGTACTTTCTTGCACACTCATGTTTCATTAACACACACACGCACACATACACACGCACTCATACACACATGCACGCACACACACTCATACACACATGCCCGCACACTTTCACGCACACATAACCAACACAACCCTCCCCCTCCCCTCTTACAGCATGGTGCGCGTGTACATCAAGCTTGGGCGGCTGAAGGAGGCGATTGATCTGCTGACGAGCAGCGAGATGCGCACGCGGGTTGAGATGACGATGGGTGCACTGCACTACAGCTACTCGGCCGTGCTCAATTACCTCTGCGAACAGGGAACACCCGGGCACGAAGCCCTTGGTGCGTACACCTGTGCAGTTGCGCTAGTTTGTCGTTGTGTTTGTGTTTGAGTTTGTGTTTGTGTTTGTGTTTGTGTTTGATTGCTTGTGGTGTTGCTTGCTCTATCTGCTATGCGTGCGTTTGTGCATCTCTGCTAGTGTGTCATGCGCAAAGAATGGCTTTACAGCTACCGCTGCGTCATTTCGATTTACGCATCCATCCGTTGTGCAACTTCATCTGTCCAGGTATGGAATTACTGCACCGGGCAATCGCTGAGGGTGTCTTCGAATCAAACCTCAGGTAACACTCTCGTGCTTTCTCACGTGCGCATATGCTGGTGCACTTGCACGTATACACGTGTGTGAGAGAGAGTGCATGTCTACGTGTGTAGGTGTACGTGTAGGTGTGCGTGTATACGTGTGTGTGTACGTGTATACGTGTGTGTGTACGTGTGTACGTGTGTGTGTGTTGATGTCTACATGTGTACGTTCATGCGTGAAGATGGGTGCGTTCTCCTACAGTGCGCGCATACGTTGTGCCCCTTCAGCATCCATTGCATGCTGGTGGGTGTTGCTGAGGTATCGTGATTCACACCACTGCAACACACTACAACCGTACCTTAACCCTCTCACCCCCCACCCCACCCGCTGTGCTCCTCCCAGGAACGAGCAGCAGTTTGAGCTTGACCTTCACGAGTTGTCGCTCGGAATGGCGCAGTTGATGGTGCTCCACTTTCTCAAGCAGGCAGCAGCGGCATCACAGCGGTGCGAGCTGCAACTGTGCTGTGGTGATGCTGGGACAGAGGTGTTCGTGGTGATGTGGAGAGGAGGTGCCACGGTCGAATGTGGCACTCTTGCAGCCGTGACCTCGGTCTTTGTTACATGCACCCACCTCACACATACACGCTGACACACTCTTGCGCACGCACGCACATACACACACACGACACACAACACAGGCGGGTGACGATCATCACGGGGAAAGGGCTCAACAGCCCGAACAACGTGCCTGTGCTGCGACCGATGGTGGAGCGGATGTTGGAGGAGAGAGGAATCGAATACTACAAGAACCCGCGCAACACCGGGGTACGATGCAGTCGTTTGCTTGGCCTGGTTTTGTGTGTCTGTGTGTGTGTGTGTGTGTCTGTGTGTGTGTGTGTGTCTGTGTGTGTCTGTGTGTGTGTCTGTGTGTGTGTGTGTGTCTGTGTGTGTGTCTTTGCGATTGTATTTCGATTGTGCTGTGAATCGCGCACATCCTGTGCACGAGCACACACACACACACACACACACATACACACACACCCACACATGACACACACACACACAGGGGACAACTCACACCCCCACTGACGCGCGCGCAATAAAA